AAAATACTAAAAGATCTCCTCACCCCCCCCCCCCCCTCGCTCCCCCCTCACCGCCCCCCCCCCCCTCATCGCCCCCCCGCCCCCCTCATCGCCCTCCCGCCCCCCTCACCGCCCTCCCGCCCTCCCCCGGTACTATAGTTGATCCTTGAGTTGACTTTGGTATGCCAAATAAAGCGCTTTTACGTTTTTTATAAGAAGCTATTGAATAATTGCTAGATTTATGAAAATCTGAAAATTTTAGCAATTCAACTACTTCGGTATCTTTGACATCATTGACATGTTCTCTTGAATTTTGATTTGTAAAGACGAGATTTTGAAGCCCATTTTTTGAGTCATTTCTCTCTGTTTAACGTTCCTGCAAACGTTTAAATCCAAAGAACACCCTAGGGTCCAATTTTCGTCTCTTCTCAGTCAATCTTCTTCCATTTTTTCTTCTTCAATTCTCCATCCTTTAGTTGACTGGCTCGCTCGCTAAGCTAGCTTTTCAATTTTTAACCTTTTCTCTAGCTTTTTACTGTATTTTGTGTTTGAAAATTGTAAACGCATCCCTTCTAGCGCACTGAATTCACTGAAAGCTTAGTTTTATGCACAATTTCAAGCATAAAGTACATCCATCAACCAAAAAAAATCCGTTTTAATTCGTTCTTTGTAGTGTGTTTTTTTACTGCTCACAAACCCTTTCTAGCACATTGAATTCTTCATTTTCTCTCGAGAAATCAATAATTTCTTTGAGAAAAATGAAGAATTGAGTTCGCTAGAAGGATTGCGTTTACATATAAGCGTAAAGCACAAAAAAATCACTTGGGCACTTGATTTTGAATTTGATTGAATTTTATTTGATAATTGAATATCAATTAAAAGATATTCAATTGATAACTGAATATCAAATAAAAGATATTCAATTGATAACTGAATATCAATTAAAAGGGGAGTGGGACAAATGCGACCTTTTGCGCACCCGGACATTTGCGCACCTGGCCCATTAGCACACCTTCTTTCGCGTTATATATGATAGATATTATATTATAAGATAGATATTATATTATTCTCGGAAAAAGGTCGCAACTTTACAACTTTCGACCATTTACCGACGAAATCCTGGGTTGGCGCTTTAAAGTGTGGTAAAACTACCGTACCCCACTTAATTGGCGCGAAATTTTTTTCCTTTTTCGTTCATTTCATTTTATTCTTTTTGGGGAGTGGGACAAATGCGACCTTTTTTTCCGCACCTTGCCCATTAGCGCACCTTTTTCGTGTTTTAAAAAAGCTCTAAAAAGCTAATATTAACCAATTTCTATTCCAAAAGTTGTTTTTCTAGGTAATTTTAGGGCGTAGAATCGAAATTTTGACATAACATTTTGACATGTGTATGAATTCATGTGTTTTAATCTTAAATCTAGCGCACTTTATCTCAGGTCCTGAATAAAGTATCTATATATATGTTGTGTCCGATTTAGATTTCCGTCCGATTTAGATTCAATCTAAATCGGACGTCCGATTTAGATTGAACTTATCGCGGACGTCCGATTTAGATTACAGTCTATATCGGACGTCCGTATATAGATCGAACAATAATATAAACGTGCTTAATATATGTTCTTAAGCGTTTTTTTGCAATTTTCTGCGCTTTTCAAAGACATTTTCAAAGAACATATGTTAAGCACGTTTATTATTGTTCGATCTGTATCGGACGTCCGATATAGACTGTAATCAATAAAAGACCTTTGAAAAATGCAGAAAACTACAGAAAACGCTTAAGAACATATATTAAGCATGTTTATATTATTGTTCAATCCATATAAGATTTAGATTGAATCTAAATCGGACGGAAATCTAAATCGGACACAACATATATATAACAGAGCGTGTGGAACCAATTTGGAAGACAAAACGGCTGGGTCAAAGTATTTAGTTAAGATTAGCTGGATTACGGTATTCAGTCTAGATTAGGGTATTCAGTCTAAATCAAGGCATTCAGTCAGAATGAGCCGGATTACGGTATTCAGTCTAGATTAGGATATTCAGTCTAGATTAGGGTTATCAGTCTAGGGTCTAGGTATTTCCGCACTTAGCCCATTAGCGCACCTTTTTTCGCGTTTTAAAAAAGCTCTAAAAAGCTAATATTAACCAATTTCTATTCCAAAAGTTGTTTTTCTAGGTAATTTTAGGGCGTAGAATCGAAATTTTGACATAACAGAGCGTGTGGAACCAATTTGAAAGACAAAACGGCTAGATCAAATTACAGAAAATCGATAAAGAAATTGTCGATTTTTCTCTTTGTATAATTCCGTCCGTTTGTTTCCACAAGCTCTGATATGTCAAAATTTCGATTCTACGCCCTAAAATTACCTAGAAAAACAACTTTTGGAATAGAAATTGGTTAATATTAGCTTTTTAAAACGCGAAAAAAGGTCGCATTTGTCCCGCTCGCATTAAAAGATATTCAGTCAAAAGATATTCAATTGATAGCTGAATATCAATTAAACGATATTCAGTCATCAAATTGTGTATTTTCTAAAAGAAAAGCTCATCCGTTCGCTCCATTTCCTTTTTCACTTTGTTATCAGCTTTGATTCGTCTTTTTTTGTGAAAAGGGGTAAACAGTGAGACTTTTTGCAGACACAATAGCGTCAATTCTCCAGAAATTCCCCAGAAAACCTTTTCTACATAGATAAACAAGTACATTTCATCAAAATTTTATTGAAAATCTTTTTAGGAACTTTTATTTTTAAGCATTGCATTGTTAAAGCCATTTCTTTTTTACTCTTTCAATCAACTTTTGACTGGTTTAGTTACGCAAATTGATCTTTACGAGTTGTGAGTCAGAAAAAGATCAAGCATCGCTTCTTATTGCAAAGTTAGGCTTTTGATTTGAAACAAAATCTTTGGATAAATCTTGGCTTGGCTTGGCTTGGCTCAGGCTTGGCTTGGTTTGGCTTGGCTTGGCTAGGCTCAGGCTTGGCTTGGTTTGGCTTGGCTTGGCTAGGCTCAGGCTTGGCTTGGCTCAGGCTTGGCTTGGTTTGGCTTGGCTAGGCTCAGGCTTGGCTAGGCTCAGGCTTGGCTTGGCTCAGGCTTGGCTCAGGCTTGGCTTGGCTTGGCTTGGCTCAGGCTTGGAATTAGGAAATTCTATTGTTCTAAAATCCTATTGCTTTATCTAAAATGAATCTTTGCTTTATTAGATCCTAGTTTTCCTTTAGATATTTAGAATACTGATGCTACTGGTTAGCCTTGTAAAAAAAACATCTGTCTATCCTTTTTTCTTGACAATTTCAAGTTTTTCCTGTTTTTCTCAGCATCAATCCTACTATTTTGACTATTATTTGATGTAAAATCAAATTACGCGTCGAATGATACCAAAATCAACTCAAAATATAATATCCATGCAAAGTTATGAGGCAAAAAGTTAAGTCCCGCTCATAATCGGCGGGGTTTAGGTTTTTAGCCAACAACTTTGCATAGATATTATATTTTGAGTTGATTTTGGTATCATTCGACGCGCAATTTTATTCTGCATCAAATAATAGTCAAAATAGTCAAAATAGAAGGATTGATGCTGAGAAAAACAGGAAAAACTTTAAATTGTCAAGAAAAATGATGAAATTCGAATGTTTTCTTAACTCTTTATCTTAACTAAACCATTTCCCTTGTAGAGAGAATCGTTAATAGTTTGCGAGTTGTTTTTCAAGGTAAAGAAAGTGCAGATTGAAAGAGAATGGGAAAGGGGGGAAAGAGGAAAAAAGAATGGGAAAGGGCCACTCCGTCAATAGCTGTAATTGTAGCTTTTTGGGGAAATGGGAGAAAAAGATGCCTTGTTTCTTTTTCTTTTTCTTTTTTTCCATTCCTCTCTCAGATTTATTCCCTGATTCGCCCATTGGACCCATTTTCCATTTTCCTTTCGTTTCCTGCAGAAATAAACAACCTGTACTGGTTTTTGTTTTAAAAATTAACTTTACTCAGGTTATTAGGTATTTTACTTTAGTTTATTAGGCTTCTAATTTACTTTACTCCAGTTTATTAGGCTTTTAATTTACTTTACTTTACTTTATTAGGCTTCTACTTTGCTTTACTTTACTTTATTAGGCTTCTACTTTGGTTGACTTTACTTTATTAGGCTTTTACTTTGCTTTACTTTACTTTATTAGGCTTTTACTTTACTTTACTTTAGTTTATTAGGCTTTTACGTCACTGTACTTTAATTTATTAGGCTTTTGCTTTACATTACTTTACTTTACTTTTGTTTATTGGGCTCTTAATTTACTTTACTTTAGTTTATTAAGCTTTACTTTACTCCAGTTTATTAGGCTTTACTTTATTTTAGGTTTACTTTAGTTTATTAGGCTTTTGCTTTACTTTTCTTTACTTTATTAGGCTTCTAATTTACTTTACTCCAGTTTATTAGGCTTTACTTTAGTTTAGGTTTACTTTATTTTAGGTTTACTTCAGTTTATTAAGCTTTACTTTGCTTTACTTTTGTTTATTAGACTTTTAATTTACTTTACTTTAGCTTATTAGGCTTTTAATTTACTTTACTTTAGTTTATTTACTTTTCTATTCTATTCAATAACTCCCAAATCTTTAACTATTATTGTTAATTTTTGTTGTCCCAAATGATGCTTTCTATCTATTTCTCTATTTCTTTTATTCAAATCATTTAAAATCGATTACTTAAAACGATTTAGAACTTTATTTGGATGTTTCTTAATGGCTTAATGGAACCTGGATCCTTTTTTGATAACCTGAATCCTTTTTTGATAACCTGAATGCTTTTTTGATAACCTGAATGCTTTTTTGATAACCTGAATCCTTTTTTGATATTCGTAAAACCTTTATTAGCTTATTTTTGACTTAATTACTTGCTTGCTTTTCAATCTTTGTCTAGAGTTTATCTTTATGTTAAAAGCCAAAGAAAACTGTTAAATTTTGAACGAAATCTTTTCAAATTCTCTTCAAATTCAAAGAAATCATCTAAATTTTGCAAATTTTCAGGCGGCTGAGGGCAAATGACTCCTTATTCACCACCGCCAGCATTGCCGAGAGTATGGGAGCCCCTATTGCAGTAGGTTTTTTTAAAATAATGAATAATCAGTAGGCAGAAGATAGTCAGAATAATTGTCTAACTGTCTAACTATTAAACTTTGCCAACTTTCTCATCTAAATTTTTTATTTAGAGTAATTCAATCACATCCACGATACGAGGAGCCATTCGTTCGCTGCATCAATGAACTTTTCTATGGAGCTGGCCCATTGCGGGTACACGAGCGACACTATATTGCACTTATGGTGAGTCGAATTTTGTCTAGAAATCGATTATTTCATTTATATATTGTTTATCTTATGTTTTTGGCTTATTTTAGTGTTAACCAGCGCTTAGAAAAAATGATTAAAAAGAAAAAAAAAGCTGATTTTTCATCATTTTTCAATCATTTTATTCTAAGCGCTGGTTAATGCTAAACATACGTGTTATATCTCAAATTAAAGTAGAGAGAATGAGTGATTTTTTGGGATATAACATGTAGTTTTAGCATTAACCAGCGCTTATAATAAAATGATTGAAAACTGGCAAAAAAAGCTGATTTTTTATCAATATTCAAACACTTTTTTCTAAGCACTAGTTAATGCTAAACATAAGTGTTATATCTTAAAATAACACTCATTTTCTCTACTTTAATTTGATACCTAAATATCTGGAAACAAAAGTACTGGTGACGAGATCTGAGGGTTTGTTTAAGAGTGAACTTAGACTAGGCAACGCAATGAGAGGGGACTACTATTATAGGAATTATTGTACTTATTTTGTACTCCAGTGCTTCATAGACTATTTTCATTATCCTAATCTACTCGTTAAGTTCCTTTTTATTATTGATTTTGATAATTGATAGTTATATCAGCTTTTGTCGGCTTCTAGATATTTTCGTCGTCAGTCGTCGAGTCGCCATACTTTGAAAGCTCATAACTTTATTTAGAGATAATATTATTGCTAACTTTTAATATCATTGAATAGAGGACTTTTCAGGCTTTCGAATGATACCAAATAGAGCTTATTTGGATTATTCATTCTCATAAAAATCAAGCAGTACTGGATCCGAGTTGAATCGACCTCGTTTGTTCAGAGTTGACTTGATTTTTCTGGATTGGATTATCCAATTAAACTGTATTTGATATCATTTAAAAGCCTGAACTGTCTTCTATAAAGAGATTTAAAAGAAAACGTTTCAAGTACCGGCAAGAGGGACAAAAGCCCGACAAAAGCCAAGTCATGGCAGGACTAGGGCTCAACTAGCCTCCAAGATTTTTGTTCAGATTTTCAGCTATATAAAAACCATTGAAACTATAGCTAGTCTACGAATAGTTGTTTCTGATTCTAAACTTTCCAATAGCATTAGTTGGAAGGACGGAGGAGGGATGGGGGGTGCAGTGGCAATCCATATTGCCCGTCGCTCTCTCCTCCTTTCCCCATAACCCACTCTCGTTGTCTAGCATTTCCCAGTCTTCTCTTTCCTTTAGTCCCATCAATTCCTCTTTTCTTTAATCCTAACCTTTTTCCAATTCTTTTCTCGGAATCCTTTTCTACTGACCCCGTGGAAATGTTTAGGTACTGGGGAAAGTCTGAAAATAGAAGAATACTAGTTTGTTAACTTACCGAACTTACTGTTACTTAACTTACTGTTACCTAACTTACTGTTACCTAACTTACTGTTGCCGAACTTACTGTTACTTAACTTACTAGTTTGAAAAGAACAGAACAGTTAGAAAAAGAACAAGCTTGAAAATGAATATAATGTTGTAAAGGCTTTTAATAACAGATATATTTCGATAATGTTAGCAAGGTCAACCTAGTCTGACCTGGCTTGGCTTTTCAAGCTTGACTCTGGTCTGTGTCTGCAAACCAAGTCTGTCAGAGGCTAGGTTAAGAGCTAGCAAGGCCAGACAAGACCAGGTTTAGATCAGAAGTCAAGCTAGAGGCTGGCTTGACCCTGGCTTGGCCTTTCTTGGCCTGGCTTGACCCTGGCCTAGCTTGACCCTGGCCCAGCTTGACCCTAGCCTAGCTTGACCCTAGCCTGGCTTGACCTAAGCCTAAGCCTGGCCTGGCTTGACCCTAGCCTAGCTTGACCCTGGCCTAGCTTGACCCTAGCTTGGCCTTCCTTTGCCTACCCTTCCTTGGCCTGGCCTGGCCTATACTTTGACTTATTCGGCTCTGGTCTTTGTCTGACTTGACCTGACCTCTCTCCTGCCTCTCCTGGCTCCATGACTACTGGATAGATCTAAAGCCATTTGAATTGTTGTCTGATACATACTCTCTAGATAAATTTAGATAGGTAAAACTAGGCCTGTAAACGCTTTGAGGCTATGCAATGACTTTTTGTCTCATACTGTAACTTTAAAAACCATCTACAAGTATCACTCAAGTTTTGAGTGGGTCAAAAATTGGGTGCTTATTTGACGAAGACTCTCTTTTCTTTTGTTGACTCAACTCATCACCCTAGGGTTCTCAAATACATAAATAGGGATTAACACCAGGTAAACGACGAACGAAACTTTGCGAGATTGATCTTTGAGTGAAGAATTTGGTATACTTTATGCTCAAATCTGTTAACAGGTCGTTTACTGAAGACAGTGCGTTGCCGTTATAAAGACCCTTATAAAGCCCCTTATAAAAACTTGTATGCCAAATATCTCGCGATATAGAAGCATTTAGCAAAAGCTGATTGCAGATTCGGAATCAGCGTGAAAAACTGCATCAGATAGGCTATTTTCTGAGTCAAAAGCTACGATAAGTTAACAAGAAGTTAAGAACATTCCCTAGTAAGCTCTCTAGCTCTCTAGCTATTCATTTTAAGCAACAGCAACTAGCAGCAACTAGCAACAGCTCTCTAGCTATTCATTTTAAATCTTTTTTTCAATAGGTGTACAACGAAAAAATGAGATTTCACTTCACTTCACCCGCAACTTTTTCAGGGTTTTTTTTTTGGGTAGAATTTCTCAATCTCGATTTTTTTCATCTAAAAAATCTCATCAATTATCAGCACGTGTGGGTGACCGGTTTAAATTTTTTTTTTTAATATAAAAAAGGAAAGGTTGAACCCCCCCCCACGAACAAGGCCCCCCCCCTACTATTTTTTTTTTTCTAGAAAAAAAAATTTTTTGAAAGAGAAGTTGTGTTTGGGGTTTCCAAAAAAAAAAAAAAAAAAACCCCCCCCTACTTTCTCTTCCCCCCCCAAAACAAAAAAAAAAAAAAATATATATATAAAAAAAAAAAAGGGGAAGGGTTAGTAGGGGAAAAAAAAAAAAAAAAAAAAAAAAAATAGAAGTAGTATGTATTGATAAGTAATATTATATATGATAAAAAAAAAAAAAATAATAAAAAATCGAAAGGAAAAAAAAAAAAAAAAAAAAAAAAAAAAAAATTAACTAATCTACGGCTACATTAATTTCATTTTAACCCATAATCTTTCGCTTTTTCAATATTATTCTAATCCTTAAAACTTACTTTATTATATAATCTTTACCATAAGGAAAAGAGTGAAGGGTGTTGAAGAGTAAATATTTGAGAAATTTCTTATTTTCTTACTTCATCCTTTTTCCCCAATCGAATTCTTTATATTTGTGATTGAGTGCGATTTTGGGACAAAAAAAAGAGAACGTTTAAGAAAGAAGGAAGAAGGGAGAAGAAAGAAGGGAAAGAAAGAAGAAAAGAAAAAGGCGAAAAGTATAGCTAAGTTGCGGTATTTTTTTTCTTTGTTTGTGATACACTTGGGTGTTGATTTTTGTGAACTGTTATGAAGGGGGTGTCATCGATCAAAGCACAGTTAAGATATCAACTGTACAACAAATGCTGAATCTGATAGCTATGTGGCTTTTGCAAGAAGGAAATAAGAAAAATTTCAAGTTCTAGTCAATGAAATGAATAGCTCCAATCGATTCCCCGACCCTGAAAACCCCTGGGTACGAATTTATAGCTGAATATCCTTTTTGTGCAATTTATAAAGAAAAAGAATGGATGGCGAAGTGTTCTTTGTGCGCGCGCACAATCGCTCCCCATCTGGCACACCGTCCCGATAGATACCCGTTCGCTTTTGGAATCGGTAAATCGTTGGGAAAGCTGGGGAAGGCTTTACTTGGGAGAGCTTTAGTGGGGAAGGCTTTACTTGGGAAAGCTTTACTTGGGAGAGCTTGGAACCGTATTGGAACCATATTGGATCAAAAAAAGAACCGTATTGGATCAAAGAAAGTACCGTATTGGAACAGCTTTTCCTCATGACAGCTTTTCCTCATGGTAGCTAGCTTTTCCTCATGGCAGCTATTCTTGGGAAAGCTTTGCTTATGGCAGCTTTTGTTTAGAATAGATTCGTCGGGACAACTTTGCTTGGGACAGCTTTTTTGGGAAAACTTTTAAACCAATACTCTCAATATCAGAAGAGGAAATTTGTGACTTGATTGTCTCGATTTCTCGATTTTCTCATGACTCGTTAGTCTGATCAAGCTTTATTGTTTGAAACCCCCCACGTTTCCTTGTTAAACTATATCAAAAATTAACAATAATATTATCTCTAAAGAAAGCTATGTGTCTTTAAAGTCTGCCTTTAAAGCCTTTAAAGCATGACTATTCATTCAAAAATTCCCAAGACCAGAGCCAAAAAGCTTCTAATGATAAAATTTGATGAAAACCAGAGCTAAGCTGTGCTTTGTGCTCTTACAAACGCATATTTTTTAGCACAGAAGGCTTTTAGCCGAACAACAATCAGAGATAACTATTCTTAAATTGTTCAGTGACACAATATTTATCATTTCTCGATTCGAAATTTCAAAAAACTAAAGGAAAACTTATCAATCTTTTGTTAAAAAGGATCTTTTCCACTCAAAAATCGAACGCTTTTTGATAAAACGTTTTTGAAAAAGAAAAAGAAAAGATTTTCTTTTCTTTTTCTTTTTCTTTTTCTTTTTCTTAGGGCGTGAACTTTTTTCACAAATTTTCGCTTCTCGTTTTCAATCATTTTGTGTGCCCGAATAGATTAATTTTGGGGGTGGTGGGCAAAAAAAAAAAAAAAAAAAACGTTCGGGTGGAGAAAAATGGCGGTTCTTTTTTCTTCTTTTCTTTCTTTCTTTCTCAATTTTTTTTTCTCCGAGACTCCTGGGCCTTATCTGAAAAGAAAATCGACTGGGGAAAAGGGAAAACGAAAGAAATTTGGGGATCGATAAGAATGGAGGAATTTTGAGAATCGATTTCAGATTTTTTTGATCTAACTGTCTAGATCAAATCAATTGTACTCTGTCTTGTACTTTGTGCTCTTGCAAAAGCACATTCTCTAGCACAAATATAGCCACAGATCCTCAGATTTCTAGCTTTTCTAGCTCTAGCTTTTAGTTTCAAAGTTTCAAAGGAGGGAATTTGACTAAAATTGCGCTCATAGTTTGAGCCAGACTTTAAGCCAGACTTTGAGCTATACTTTGAGCCAGACTTTGAACCATACTTTGAACCATACTTTTAGCTATACTTTCAGCTATACTTTGAGCTCTTGTAAACAAAACCTTTTTGATAGATCTTTTTAAAAAGTTGCCTATTAAATGGAATCTTTAAATCTTTATGTATCAATCTTAATTCATTCTCCATTCTCGATTATCTCAAAATCTTCTCAATTTTTTTTTTTCACCATGACGATTGAGATGTTTACATGAAAGTTTCGGCGCTTTCGGCGCTTCAAAAAAACTCAAAGAGAGAAGAGGAAAGGAAAGAAAGAGAAATGAGAGTTTTTTTTTCAGAGAGGTGCAAGGGATTGGTTATAGAAAAAGAGAAATATCAAGGCTTTGAATGAGGGTGAGGCCTGGATGAAGTGAAAAAGAGCTGGGGTAGGTGTGGGGCTTCGTTTAAGGGCTGAGTGAGGGTAGGGCTGGGGCAGGGTTCTTAAAAGAGCCAGATTTCCAGGCCAAGCCAAGCCAACTAGTTTTGCTCAATTTCCCAAGGTCAAGCCAAGCAAAAGGTGAGCGAATTAGGCCGAAGATAAGGCTGAATTTATGGGCTAAAGCCAATTGAACCTTTGTCAACCCTGGCCTAGCCATTGGCTAGCCTAGTTTGGCTTTGGCTTGAGCTTAGGCATAGGCATAGGCTTAGGCTTTGGCTTTAGCTTGAACTTAGTGCGAAAACTAGCGGCCAGCGCACTAAGTCTCTTTGGGTTTGGGCTGAACCCCCATTTCCGGGTTCTCAGCCAGTTCCCGGAGCTAAGGTGCAAGCAATTACCCTTGTTTAGGCTTAGGTTCAGGCTTAAGCTTAGGCTCAGGCTTAGGCCTAGGCTCAGGCTCGGGCTTAGGCTTGGCTTTGGTTTGGTTTTGGCTTTGGTTTTGACCTGGGCTTAGACTCAGGCTGAGGCTTTGATGGGTTGAGTTGGTGTAGGGGTAGGGCTGGAGCGGATAGGAGTAGGTGTAGAAGAGCTGGGAGTCGGGGCTTGGTGGGGTAGGTGTAGGGGTAGGGCTGGGGGTGAGGGTTATGTGTAGAGGTGTTGGCTGGGGGACAGCCCCAGCCAACAATCAATATCCCGTCCTCCCTAGTGTCTGCTCGCTTTTTCTTCGCTGCTATGTGAAAAAGTGAAAAGAAGAGAAAAAAAAGTGCCCCTTTCCCCTGAACGCAAAATTTTTTCTATGTGGGGAATGGAAAATAAACTTTTCGGGAGACTTAAACTTTGTAAGATGACTTTTTATAGATTGAGAACAATGAAAGAAAGCTGTGAAAGCGGAAGAGAGTCGTTTGAGATTGAGATGAAGATTGGGATGAAGATTGGGATGAAAATTGAGAATAATATAAGAAAACGATGATGAAAAACGAAAATGGATGAAGATAAAGATTGATTAAAGATAAAGAAACATGGATATATTTTGGATATTCGAATTTTTATCAATATTTTCTTTTCAGGCAGCTAGTCGACACCGATGTTCGTTCATGTTGAACCTGTTCGAGCGAGAGTTCGAGGCGGCCGGCGGGGATCTGGGCTGGTTGAAGGTGAGAATTAATCGATATTACTACAGGATCTATACTCTAAATATAATCCCTGTTTATCAATCCCTGTTTTCAAAAGGTGATTTCAAAATTTTCAGGGTCTTAAATTCTGTAAAAATTCGAAATTGATCGTTTTGGATGAGATGAATCGACTACTCGCACATCAGCCATGGCTCTGTCTAGCAGACACCATACAAGTAAGTGAAAGGTGATGAAATGAGCTGAGATGATGAGTTTTTGTTTCATTTTGTTTCATTTTATCAACTCAATTTCTCAAGAGCTTTCATTAGAGATAAATTCGAACGAATTTCGCGTAAACAACTTTGTTTTCCGTAAAAAAAAACATCCCATTCCATTCTCCAGTCTCCTCCAAATCATTGAGGCAAGGGATTTTGCAGAAATTGCTGACAAAATCCGATTTCAGCAATCCCAATCTCTTTGTTTATTTTTATAGCCTAATTTGTTGCTGATTTGGTTGGTTTTTTTCTGGATTAGGGCAGGATTTGACCCTGCTCTAGCTAAATGACTTTTGACTTTTGACTTTGACTTCTTTGCTCGTTTCTGCAGGGCTGAACCGACGAAATGCTATGTGATCTATACAATAATTTTATGCTGATTCCGAATCTATATTCCGTTTTTGCTAAATGGCAATCTATCAGAAGTTAAAAGACTCTAAAGTTTTGTGAGGAAATGTAGTCATTTTGTGATCATTTGGATCTTAAGCGGTCTTCTTGCAGGCCTGACCACGTGCAGCCGTGGCCGAGTGGCAAAGCGTCGGCTTCTAGGGCGAGACCTCACGGGTTCGATCCCACCCGGAGTTTTCGTTTTGCCTTTTTCAAGAAATACTGTTGTTAGAACTGACTGGTTCGCATAACAGCCAGTTGACCAGCTACCAGTTGCCGGCTGAGTTGACCAGCTACCAGTTGCCGGCTCATCCAGTTGACCTTCCAACTGTAACTTGACTGTAACTTCAATTCTTGACTCAACCCGGTCACTTTACCCATATCAGAGCACCATCTGGCTTAAATTGAGTCTTGAATCAGTGGAAATGGGAAATGAATGAACAATTGCTGTACCGGGTGGTGATTTCCATAATCCGTCGGTCATAACAATCGATGATTGAAGAGAGAAAAGACCACCTGGTGGAGAAAAAAAAGGAAAAGACTGAAAGGGGGAAAAATTGGGGGCATTTTATGACCATTTCGGTGGGGGGGGATCCCAATGAGCAAACATCAAGAGAATTTTTTGTGGGAATTTGATTTTGGGGTTGACTAAAACTGGAATTGAAGAATTGGATACGGAAAGAATTCAGTACCAGCTCTAGACTTTCAAGCAACTTCTAAAAGCTGTAGCTTTATCCCTTTATAGCCTTATCCAGCAAATCAGCTTTGTTCTGGGGTTACTGTGGAACAAATGCAAGAAAGATACCAGAAAGATAGACCAGAGGCCAAGATGGACTGGGCCTGGCTTATTTGGATCCGGCCTACTTGGGCTTGGCTTTGGTTTCCACAGTATTTGGGCCAGAAAGCAAGCCTAGGTTTGGCTCCTGGCTTAGGCTTGACTTCTGATCTAGGCTTGGCTCCTGGCCTAGGCTTGGCTTCTGGCCTAGGCTTGGCTTCTGGCCTAGGCTTGGCTTCTGGCCTAGGCTTGGCTTCTGGCCTAGGCTTGGCTTCTGGCTTAGGCTTGGCTTCTGGCCTAGGCTTGGCTTCTGGCCTTGCCTAGCTGACAGACTTGTCTAGGATTGAGCTGACTCTAAGACCATGAACATTGCACCTAGACCTAGACCTGAACATGCGCCTAGACCCACTCATTCATAATCAGCTACAACATACACAAAAACAAACGCAAACTCTTTTTCGCTATGCCAAAAAAGTCGATAGTCTAGCTTTTTTTCGTCTTCTCTTCAAAGATCTCCAAAGATCTCGGTTAAAAGAGATTAATTGTTGTTAATTATCGAATCAGAAACGCCGCAAAGTTGAAGAGCCTTGAAGCCAAAGTTGAAGAGCGAAGAACACACTCTACGCTTGATGTTTAGACGTGCCTAGGGCCACTCATTCATAATCGGTTACGACATATTTCCTCGAAAATCTCATCTGTGGAATAATTGTGTTTTAAATCGTGAGAAAAGAAGAAAAGATCAAAATCCGAGTGGATAAAAGAGCGAAATGGATGACATTTGTGTGATAGACTGGAGAAGAGAAGAAGACTGAAGAAAAAGATTTGAACAGGTGTCTAACTATTCCAAAGCAGGTTTATTGTTATTTATGGATGGGGAAATGTTTAGGCTATGGTTCTATGGATTTTTGGACACTTTTAGGACCCGCTAGTGGCCAAAGAAGTGAAGGAATTTGCAAGAAGAAAGAGAAAAGAGAAAGAAAAAGTTCTGGAGAGGGGATTGAGCCCGATCATTTGCTGGCCATTGCTCTTTGCTGGCCATTGCTGGCCATTGCTCTAACCACTGAGCTATTCAGCCATTCAGTGGGTTAACTGGGCAAGAGAAAGAGTCGAAAACAAGGTGGATAGAGAAATGACTGATGATTCTTTTTTGTGTCAAAGTGTTCAACATTAAAAGATTTAAAGCTTTTTAAATATTCACTTTTCTCTATTTTCTTACGAAAAAAGGGATAAGAATGCACTTTTGACTGAAAAAAACAAAAATTTGAAAAGAATCGGGGAAAACATGCTAGTGCACATTTTGTGATCTAAACAACTCTAAAAAAACAACAATGGGAAAGAGAGGGGAATTGTTTGAAGCTGTTGGGAGCTGTTGGGAGCTGTTGGAAGCTGTTTGAAGCTGTTGGAAGCTGTTGGGAGCTGTTTGAAGCTGTTTGAAGCTGTTGGAAGCTGTTGGAAGCTGTTGGAAGCTGTTGGGAGCTGTTTGAAGCTGTTTGAAGCTGTTGGGAGCTGTTGGAAGCTGTTTGAAGCTGTTGGAAGCTGTTTGAAGCTGTTTGAAGCTGTTGGAAGCTGTTTGAAGAGCTGAAAATCAATGAAAGTTGACTTGATTCAAGTTTTGAATGAGATGAGAATGTAAATAAGAACTTTAACTCGCTCTGGAGCAACGGAGATCACATGCCACATGGTGTAGTGGTTAGCACTGTTGCCCGGTAGGCGGAAGGTCAAGGGTTCGACTCCCGGCGGCGTCAAACTTTTTTGGCAGTCCCGAACTTTTCTATCCTGGTTTCTGAGATTTAGAGTTTACTTTTGCTTGCTCGTCTTGTAAACGCATCTTTCTGGTGCACTGAGGTCTCCGAAAACGGGGAGAATTCATTGCATTAGAAAGATGGCGTTTACACTCGACTAAACTACAAAGAGTGATAAGAGAAATTTGAAGCAAAGCATAGCAATTACAGCACAGCACAGCACAATACTTGCATAGTATTCGTACGTTTGCGTAGCTGCTTTAAAACATGTCCCAGCTAGCGTAATCGACTCTAAACCGGCTCTAAATTGGTCTAAATCGATCTAAATCGATCTAAATCGATCTAAACCCGTCTAAATCGGTCTAAATCGACTTTAAAACGGCTCTAAACCGGCTCTAAATCTGTCTAAATCGGTCTAAATCGGTCTAAATCGATCTAAATCGATCTAAACCCGTCTAAATCGGTCTAAATCGACTTTAAACCGGCTCTAAATCTGTCTAAATCGGTCTAAATCAGCTCTTTATTGATTTGTGATAAGGAAATGTCGTTGAGATTACTGTAAGATTACTAGTTTGGTTACGAGTATGATAGCCGAGTTTATAGCTTATCACATTTGATCAAAATCCTATTCCCCTTTTCCATTGCAGTATTTTGATCGAATTGATCTCTGTATTGTGTGTGGGGGGATCGGTTTATTTGTCGCTTCACACTGTCTTTTCTCTCTTCTTTCTCTTATTTTCCCGTCTTTTCCCTTCTTTTCCCGTCTTTTCCTTTATTTTCGCTTTATTTTCCCTTTTAGTTAGCTCATATCAAATACTATGAAAGGGGAAAGAAAGAAAGCAAATAAAATTCGATAGGGAATAGGAGAATAGATGAAAAGAGTAGAGTCTAGTCGAATATTTAACTGACAAAGAAATAGGGTTGAGGAATGATCTTTTAAAGAAATGATGATATAGAAATGATCTTTAATCTTAAGATCTCCTACCAGATCTGCTACCAGGATCTGCTACCAGCTTTGCTACCAGATCTCCTACCAGATCTCCTACCAGACCTACTTCCAGATCTGCTACCAGATCTGCTACCAGACCTGCTACCAGATCTCCTACCAGACCTACTTCCAGATCTGCCACCAGATCTGCTACCAGACCTGCTACCAGATCTGCTGCCAGACCTACTTCCAGATCTGCTACCAGATCTGCTACCAGACCTGCTTCCAGATCTGCTGCCAGATCTCCTACCAGACCTCCTACCAGATCTCCTACCAGACCTCCTACCAGATCTCCTACCAGATTTGCCTTTTTTTTTCATTTCCAAGCAATTCAAGAGACTTTGCAATTCTTCTTGAAGAAAATAAAAGAACAGAAAAGAAAGAGGCGGATTTGTTTCCATTTTTGACTTTGAGCTCTCTGGAGGCTCATTTGTGTATGGGGAAGAGGCACAGATGGGAAAAGGAGAGGAAGAAGACGGAGAAGAAGAGAAAGAAGAGGAAGAAGAGGAAGAAGAGGAAGCAGAGGAAGCAGAGGAAGAAGAGGAAAAAGAGGAAGCTCAAACATAATACTCTCAAAGACTTCAAAGAGAAAAAAGAAAGAAAAAAGGAAATCGACTCGAATTGGACGGGGAGGACAAAGAAGAATATGAGACATCCAAAAAGTTCCAGAAATTTCACTTGGGGATGCTTAAATTGGGGATTAAGTTAAGGTTTAGGTTAAGGTTAAGCAGCTTTTGATCTACCGTAATCGATCAATCTAAAAAGATCGTGAAAAAGGCCGTACTTCGATTTTCCAAAGCCAAAGCGATATCCCAATAGATCTTCTAGAGTCTAGAGCTTTTAAGCTATGTTTAGCTATGTTTAGCTATGTTTAGCTATGTTTAGCTCACTTTTTTAAGCTATTTTTGAAAGTTTTACATACAAAAATACGGATTTTAAAGCTCTTGAGAAATCAAATTTTTTGTTTTTCAAATAAAAACTCAAAGTTCAAATAAAATTATCAAGATTCTCGTGGAATTTTAGAGGTTAACGAAAAACGAAAGCGGTCCTCATCTCTCGCTACAGGAGGTCGGTTTTTGTAAAATGAATCTATTGAAAAAGCTATTGAAAGTCTATTGAAACCTATTGAAACCTATTGAAAGATCGTGCTAACTAGGAAATTCTATCTAGATTAGGGTATTCAGTCTAGTTTAAGGTATTCAGTTAAGATTAGCTGGATTTCGGGATTTACTCTCGATCAGGGTATTCAGTTAAGATTGGGATATTCAGTCTAGATTAGCTGGATTTCGGGATTCAGTCTAGATTAGGGCTATCAGTCTAGATTAAGGTATTCAGTTAAGATTAAAGTTAAATATAGAAATCATTTAAAACAAGCCAACCAAAGCCAATGTTTTCCAGCTGGTTCACGCGGCAATTGTCCTCTCACACACGCACGCGTTGTGCTCATTCGCCGAGGCGATCGGCGCTGTGCCGATCGAGATTAGCAGGTAGAATAGAATAGAAGCAGAAGCAGAAGCAGATGCAGAAGCAGAAGCAGAAGCAGAAGCAGATGCAGAAGCAGAAGCAGAAGCAACTACTTAAAAGGCATGGAGTCATGGGAGTTTTTGAAGCTCTAGAAAAGCTCTAGTGACTCACTTTTGACTCACTGACTCACTTTTGAACTTCATCATTCCTGATTTAAGCTGCCAGACGGATTTGTAATTAGGTTTTATCCAAGAAAGGAAAAAAAGCGAGAGTCAATTGCTGGGGATCGAACCTGGTTTGTTCTTTGCACTCTTTTGTTACAGCGAAAATTTTTGGGGGCCTTCATAATGTGAAGATAAGCGACCCACCGGAAGTCGCTGGTTGGCCAAGTGGTAAGTTGCTGGGCTACGTGGCAAACGGGTGCTCGTAACAGCTGGGTTCGATCCCCGCCATTGCTTTTTGCATTTTCCTTGCGATTTTTCCTTTTTCTTCTTAGGCAAATCTGGATAGATTCAGATCCAGCAGCTCAAGTCGGGTATTGAAGCAATGAAAGCTCAAAAGGAGCCCATAACTCAATCTGCTTGTTAGATATCCTTGATAATCTAATTGTGAAAATATTCCGCTAAAACAGCTTTTATTTGTCTCATTTCAGCTCGGAACGTCAATCAATGGCCTCTCGATGCGAGTGGTTGGCTAGGGACAAGGAGAACACCGGAGCAAGGCGAAAGTGAGTAGAGAAAAGTTCTAGAAAAGCTCTAGAAAAGCTTGAGAAGCTTGAAAAGCTCTAGAGAAGCTTAAAAAGCTTGAGAAGCTCTAGAAAAGCTTAAAAAGTTCTAGAAAAGCTCTAGAAAGGCTTTAGAAAAGCTTTAGAAAAGCCTGAAAAGCTTGAAAAGCTCTAGAAAAGCTCTAGTCTTTATTAAAGATAATTAACTAAATCTGTTCAATTTTAGAGGTGAAATCGAGGATCTGCTAAAGCGGATGAATCGATTGAGAGCCGTGGCCGCGGACGGATCAGACGAGCGTGGAAAGGAGACTTTCGAGCGACTTCACGAGCAACCTGGTGCGTTTGAAATTTGCATAAAAAAGTGAGCGTAAACGATAAAGTACTTAAAAGTACACTACTCAACACAACACTGTACAGTAATCATTTTAACTAAAGAAGAACGAAAGAAGAACGAAAGAAGTTCTGGCTCGTGCCTTAAAATGAGCATTTTAAGAGAAATTAGAGAAGCTAGAGGATATCAAGAGTACAGTAGAGTCCAATGTACAAGAGTACAATAGAGTCCAAGGATATCAAGAGTACAGTAGAGTCCAAGGATATCAAGAGTACAGTAGAGCCCAACAGCTTTCTAATGTACAGCTCTCCAATGTACATCTTTCCAATGTACATCTTTCCAATGTACATCTTTCCAATGTACAGCTTTCCAATGTACAGCCAATGTACATCTTTCCAATGTACATCTTTCCAATGTACATCTTTCCAATGTACATCTTTCCAATGTACAGCTTTCCAATGTACAGCCAATGTACAGCTTTCCACTGTACAGCTTTCCAATGTACAGCCAATGTACAGCTTTCCAATGTACAGCTTTCCACTGTACAGCTTTCCACTGTACAGCTTTCCACTGTACAGCCAATGTACAGCTTTCCAATGTACAGCTTTCCAATGTACAGCTTTCCACTGTACAGCCAATGTACAGCTTTCCAATGTACAGCTTTGTACAGCTTTCCATTGTACAGCTTTCCTTTGTAGCTACAGTACTACAGCTACAGTACTACAGTCTACAGCACTACAGCACTACAGTACTATGTACACTCCAAAATCCTTTCACTTACAAAAAACTAGAGTCTAAAGCTGATTGAAAAGATTGAAAAGGGGCAGAGTGAAATCGCAACATTTTATCACCTTCTTCTCTGGGTTTACGACGTGTTTATTTGGATGGAAAAATGGAAAAAAATCGGGGGAAATGGGGAAAATGGGGAAAAATGGCTAAGATCCAAGCCTAGCCTGTGTTTTGAGGCTGACACCTGCCTCCTTCTTGATCCCCGCCATATCAAAAGATTCACAAAGATCCACAGTTGATAAGAGAAGAAAAAAACGTTCTGTTTATCGGTTTTACTGGGGTAAATGAGGAAGTAAGGGCTGGCTTTTTGGGGAGAAAACAAAAACTGGGTTAGTTATTAGTTCGAAAAACTAAAGATATCGGTTGATTGATCTTGATAGATCTTGATCTTGAAGACAGTCCTTTTTTGACGGGGAAAGGTTAATTGGCTGAGCCAAATGCTATACGAGCTTTATCATTTGACGCAGAATTTTATGCTGAATCCGAATATATATTACGTTTTTGCTAAATGACAATCTACCAGGAGTTAAAGGCGCCTAAAGTCTTGTGGTTATTCGGATCATTTAGGTAGGAAAATGTGATCATTTGGATCTGAAAAATGGGGTCATTTGGATTTTAAGAGGCCTCCTTGCGGAGCTATTTCAGTGCGGGCGTGGCCGAGTGGCAGAGCGTTCGTTTCCAGAGTTTTTCTTGTCTGGAGATATCTTTCTCGATTTTTTTTTTACTTTATGATTAGTGGAGTTGGTCAAAGTCATTGATTATGTTATTGAAAAGAGAAATTGGGGAAGAGGAAGAGGAAGAACGAAAGAAAGAAGGGAAGATCGATGGTTTTCTTGCAAAAATTGAGAACTTTTGAGGGTTTTGTTGGTTTCATTTTTCTGGGGGTTGGTAGTTACTTTGAAATTTGGATTTGAATTAAGAAAGTTTGGCTTGAAGACTCTATTTATTACATTACGATCGATTACGGGTTACGATAACTTTTCACTGGGTTACGGTAGATTTGACTGGGTTACGGCAGCTTTTCACTGGGTTACGGCAGCTTTTCGCTAGGTTACGATGGCCTTTGATTGGGTTACGATGGCTTTTCACTGGATCGGTTTTAGTCTAATCTTGCTTTCACAATTCTCCATCGAATTCACCCTAAGCCTGAGCCTAATCCAGAAAGCCGAAAGGCTAACGAAGCGAAACAATAAACTGGCCTTGAGCATGGCTTTGCTTGACCTGAAACAAAGTCAAGCGTTCGCTTAACTTGGAAAATCTTTGAAAATGCTCTTTGAAAGCTTTTTTTGAAAGCTCAGACCAACATCCTCAAGATCCACCCTGAAAAATGATGACCAAAGAATGCAAGAATTGCCTTTGTGAACGACCCTGCTCAATCAAGTCTGAGATTTCGTTCGCTTTTTGATCTACGTGCCATTCGGGAAATCGAAAATTTCACTCTAAAGCGTTGCAAAGTGTTAATGACTGTGTCTGTCATTCTCTTTTCCCGAAAGATTCGAAAATGAATCGCTTTCAGAGGTGCTGATTTGGGGATGAGTGCCGTAATGCATTAATCTCTTTGATCTCTTTCCCTTTTCTGATTTCTTTTTGATCTTTCTCATGTGGGTAAAGTCTAGGATTTCGATGAGAAAATCGTGAAGGGAATGGGGAAAGAATCTAGCATTGAATAAGTTTTCTTGAGTTGCAAGAAGCTAAAGTGGTCCAGCTTTGCTACTTTTAGATCTACTATCGTTTTTAGGAATACTTAACTAAAAAAGCTAGCTATGTAGGTCAACTAGAGATCTCAAAGATCGATTTTAGAACAGAATTACGTTACCTTTTAACGCGTTTTAGGGAAAACAAGCAAGTAGGGGGATGGGAGAAATGCTACCTTTTTGCGCGCCTGGACATTTGCGCACCTGAACATCTGGGCATCTGGGCATTTGCGCACCTGAACCTTTGGGTACCTAGACATTTGGGCACCTGAACCTTTGCGCAACTGGACATCTGGGCATCTGGACATTTGCGCAACTGGACATTTGGGCATCTGAACATTTGCGCACCTTTTCACCCATTATAATAAAGACTCCTAATCACAGAATCGTCTCGTGAGATTCCTATTGACGATCCTATTAGTTTCCTGCATCGAATTGGTGAAGTCTTTTAAAAGCTCATCTTAAATTCGTGCATTTTTCTTGTAAATGAATGCTCCGTATGTCAGAACTGGTTTAGGTCAGTCTTGAACTCATCCAGGTCTAATATTATAGCTGAATCAGTCAGATAGGGCTAGTTTAGCTTTATCTCTAGATTCTAAAGCAGGTTACGGCTTTGCTGGTGTACTGGAAGATTGTAAAAGATTGTAAACTGTAAAAGACTTTCAAGATTACTTTCAAGGCTTAAAATCATTGAAACTAAAGGTTTTCAAGGCTTAAAATCATTGAAAAACTAAAAACTAAAAGCTTTCAAGGCTTTCAATCATTGAAAAACTAAAGAATTTCTAGTGTAAATGCTTTTTTGAATAGCACTTGTTGCCTTTAGTACCTTTGATTCATTGATTCATCTCCTAATACATAGAAACAACCGTGAACTAACAACTTTGCCATACACAGTACCCAAAAACGATACTGTATATAGTAAAGTTGATAGCCGAGTGTTACTATAAACACTAGAGTATATTGCCACAAAAACTCGACTTCTTACACTCATTCAGCTGAAGAAAGAGTCATTTTAAAGCCTTTGCACAAACACAAACACTTCTACAAATCACTGCCATCAGTGATTGAGCCTCTAGAATCCAAAAACTCTTTAGCCATAAATTTCTCGTGTTCTGATTCCCGCTTTCCACTGAAACCACAACAATTAATCAACAGCTCCAAACACAAATGATCTCTTTGTCTCTGTTTTTCGAAGAATCTTTCCCCGATCATCTTTCCTTTGATCTGAGCCAATGGGTTGATTCATTTGATCTCCCTAGACATTGTAAAGTGATTGGCTTAAGGAGGGAATAGTAAAACGATGCTTATTCTAATGCTAACGCTACCGAAAGCTATTGTAATACAGCTACCGTAATCAGCCAACAAACAGCCAACAAACCAGCCAACAAACAGCCAACAAACAACCAACAAACAGCCAACAAACATCCAACAGCCAACCAACAAATCAGCCGACATCAATGCTTGGCTTTAAAGAGTAAATTTCGATAAAGAAACCCTACAATAAAGCATTTTTCTAAAGCTCTAAAGCTTGCATCGTAGCCTTGCCTTGCTTCTAGTCATCGTTGCCTTGCTTCTAGTTTAGACAAGAGAACAGTCGCTACAGCAAGTCCGCTCTGGTTGCCCAAAAAACAGCCAGGATCTGTAATCTTAACTTCTCTCTCTCATTTTCAGTTAATGATTTTCTTAAAGAGCCAAGTGGCTTGGGTAAGCTAAAATGATCAACACTAAAGTTCAACCCATCATCTTTTCCTTAATTAAACTTTGCGATCAAATGCAGATTTCATAGATATAACTATGGAAAGAACTATTAGGGGAAAATACGATAATCCAATCCAATTCAATCCAAAGAATCAAACCTTTCCCATACATTTAACTACAAGTTTTCCAAAAAATTTCACTACACTAAGCAATGAGCATGTTTCGTTGTACTTTTGAAATCGTTGTGAAAAGAATACTATGAATCTTGCCTCTTTTCCCCGTTCCACGCCATAAATCTCTAGAAAAGAGGAAAGATTCAAAGAGATTCGCTTAGATTCGTGAAAAGACGAAGAGATACACAAACGGTTAGATGAAAGGAATTGAAAGGAAAGAAAAGGGAATGAAAGCGAAGGAAAAGGGGAAAGGAGTCGCTAAAAAGAGAAGCGTTTTGCCTTACCCAACAACATCGCAACATTTAACGCAAAGAAAAGTGAATTTGGGGATCGGTGAAGAAATCGATGAAGATTCTTTTAGCTTTTCATTTTAAAAAGTTAGCATTTCGCTTATTTAGCAATTTAGTTCAAATAGAAATCGAAAATTCTCTAGAAGAAGAAGAAGTTTACTATTTTTTAAGTTACTTGAATTGAATTTGATTTGAATCGAATCAAATTTGAATCGAATCTGAATCAAATTTGAATCGAATCTGAATCAAATTTGAATCGAATTTGGATTAAATAACTATTTGAATAGCTATCATTTGCTATTTTATGTAATTTGAATCTAATTTGAATCTAATTTGAATCAAATACGAACAAGGGGAGAGGGAGTACTTTAAAAAACGCACTTAAGGAAAAACAATAAAAACAACAATAAAAAACAACAACAAGAACAACAAGGAAGAACAAAACTTAGCGGAAAACAGGATAAAAGCCGGAAAAAATTCACGATCTCATCATGGAATGCAGAAAAAAAATGAAAAAATGAAAAGAATGGCAAAAGGGGAATTTTGTGGGGGTTACGGTGCGTATCCACGCTTTAGAAAGCACGTCGAGTCATTTTCACGCCAGTTTCTTTAAACCGCACGTAAATCGGTTTCTAACTCGTTTTTTGGTCAAAGATCAGCAGAAGTTTGTAAAAAGTGTATGAAAATCTGAAAATACAAAGTAAATTAATGTATTGAATCATAAAAGGCTAAACTTTTATATAAACTTTCGATTTTTTTAGAAGACGGCGGCTCTGGAGGTGACTCGCCGACATCAGCTGGTGATGGATCACTTTTGCAAAATTTTCAGAGGTATAATTTGATTTTGTTTTAGCCTTTCCTAGCTTTTTTAGCGTTTCCTAGCTTTTTTTTAGCCTTTCCTAGCTTTTTTTGGCCTTTTCTAGCTTTGTTTTAGCCTTTCCTAGCTTTTTTTGGCCTTTCCTAGCTTTTTTTGGCCTTTCCTAGCTTTTTTTAGCCTTTCCTAGCTTTTTTTAGCCTTTCCTAGCTTTGTTTTAGCCTTTCCTAGCTTTTTTTAGACTTTCCTAGCTTTTTTTAGCCTTTCCTAGCTTTGTTTTAGCCTTTCCTAGCTTTTTTTAGCGTTTCTTAGCTTTTTTTAGACTTTCCTAGCTTTTTTTAGCCCTTCCTAGCTTTTTTTAACTTTTCCTACTAATCTACTATACAAATTCTCGTTTTAATTTGAAACAATCTTAAAAATGGGCTCGAGGATGGCTTAAATCGAGTTTTTAGATTTACGGGCAATCTTTCTTTCACATACGTCGATTTTCAAAGTCGCAGTGATTCGACGAAGACTTTCAAAATTCACGTCGGTTTTTTTTGGAAGATCTTACAGTGTTGATGTTGATAAAGAAGATATAAAGCTCGATTCAAGCTCGATTCAATGATTGATTTCAGGAATTTTCATGGGATCAGCACGGGTACGTGATTCTCGAGGATCTCTACAACGAGGTCACCGGGAAATTGGACGAAAAGTTCAATCTCACACAGAATCTCACATATAAAACGTGGGTGAAAAGGAGTTTTTCAAAAAGAGATTCCAAAATATTGCTTTTATTTGAAATGATTTTTTTAGAATGGGTCAATACGAGGATGTGGACACGTCCGCTTATCGAATGGCTGTCTGGAATTACATTCAAGCACTTTACGGAATCCGGCATGATGACTACGATTATTCGGAAGTTTGTACAATGGCTTATTTTAAAGCAAATTTTGTGTAGATTCTTAAAATAAAGCCAAATCGAGCATTTCTTGTTTGAAAGTGCGCGAAAAATGGCGCGGACTAATTTCAGTCCTTGGCCAAGTTTGGCGATACCCCTGAAGCCAGTCGGCGCGCCATTTCTCCCATTTTCAATCAATCAATGTTTGATGTAGCTTTACTTTAAGAATCTACATATAATTCCCAACAAAATGAGCCATTACACGACTTTTTTGGGTTCAGCTGTGAATTTTTTTATAGCAATTTGAAGGCATTTTCTTGGCCCTTAACTTTGAGTCCCCATAAAAAATTTTCTACCAAACTAAATGAGCTGAAATTTGTTTTACAATATAAAATGCATATATTTTGCACATTTTTTATTTTGACAGTAAGTCGATTTTCTTTAAAAAACCCCTTCGATCGGATTCGGACGCTAGCTCGGATTCAAAATCACATTTCGTCAATTTCTCAGTTAAAAACCTAGGCTAAAAACATGTTTTTCGTGATCTGCGGGTAAAATTACCCTAGACAGCGTAAAATTAGAGCTTTTTGGAGAAAAAAGTTGAAAATTTGGTCGCAGTTGGGAGTCGAACCCTCGACCTTTGGATCAACAGCCTCGACCCTCGCCAAGCCGTGTCTCGACCCTCGCCAATCGAAAGGTCGAGGGTTCGACTACCAATAGCGACCAAATTTTCAACTTTTTTACTCCAAAAAGCTCTAATTTTACGCTGTCTAGGGTAATTTTACCCGCAGATCACGAAAAACATGTTTTTAGCCTAGGTTTTTAACTGAGAAATTGACGAAATGTGATTTTTTAACTTTTTTTAAGTCTTTGAACTCATTTAAATGCTTATAAAGCTTTTAAAACGGAACGAATCACTAAATTGTCTTTGCCACGGTGTTCCTATTGAATAAAACTTTCGAACAAGACCAAACTCGTTAAGATTGGTTAAGTTTGAGACGATTTCTCAGCAATTACACGATCCATCTCCGCCATTAGCTTATAGCCATTAGCTTCAGCCTAATAAATCATTTTGCAGGTGAACACAATGTTGTCTCGCGAGATGAAAACTTTTATCAAGACGGTCGCCTGTTTCCCGCATCGTGTCACCGATTCTCTGCGAAACGGGGTCATGGTTGACTTTAAAGCGTCGGAAAAGGTGGGAAAAACTTCAAATTTGTGTAAATCCCCATTTTTCATTTTTCTTTTGCCTCCAAATCTCCATTGGAAACGGCTATTTGCTAGGCTATTTGAGGAGGGGGGAAAGGATGAAAGAAAAGCGTTTTAAAAATTCAACTTAGACTACAGTCAGAGTAAACTATAGTCAAATTTAGATAGATTATTAGTATATTCAGCTGGCCTACAGCAGGCTTAGCGTCCAGGCTAACAGCTACAATAAGTCCAGCAGGCTTAGCGTCCAGGCTAACAGCTAACTGAATATTTATTACTCTATTGAATACCAGTATTGAATACCAGTATTGAATACCAGTATTGGATACCAGTAGACCTTCAAAGTATCCCCTAAACTCTAGCTGAATATCTTAATTTTCTGGAAAAATTCAAACAAATGTGGCAGCTACGAAAGCTACGAAGCCCCGCCCCTTTTTCTGCGTAGATTTTTCGTAGCTGCTTCGTAGCTGCTCATTTTGTTTGAAATTCCCCACAAAACTAGAAGATATTCAGCTGAATGGGCAACAGGGACACTTTGAAAGTATAGGTATCAGCCGAAAATCCTAACGGCGGATTTTTCTGGATGTTTTGGGAGCGTTTTTGACGGCCGTTTCCCCTGTCGCTGTGGTGCAGTCGAGAGCGCGCTTGTCTACAGCCCACAAGGCCCGGGTTCGACCCCTGTAGTGGCACTCAATTTCGACTTTTTGATTAATTTCATTAAAATGCCATAACTACAATATATTCTAAGGAAGAAGTTGGTCTTTATTGGTCAAAAAACGACCGAGAAAATGGCTGTACAGAGAGACGGAGAAAAAGAGAGACGGAGAAACAGAGAGACACAGAGAAAAAGACAGACAAAAAGACAGACAGACGACCGTAATCCAAATACCTGAGCCAATCTTCCTCTTGATGAAAAATTTTCATTTTCTAGGTGCACGTGATGTTGATGATCATGGAGTCGCGTCTCCAAGCGGCTCTTCTTTACTTCACCCGTGCACTCACCAACTACTACGCGTCTGATCGTCGAAGCGCAATGCGATAGAAGCAACAACAACAACAACAACAACAACAACAAAAACAACTAAAGCCCAAAATTTTCCCCCAAAGAACTTAGTTTTATATCGAATTACCGTATTTTCGTTCGCCGGCGCCAATCGTTTGGGTCGTTTGGCCGGCGTTGGGTCCTCTTTCTCTCGTTCCTTTTTGCTGGGGGAAATTTTGGATATATTTTGAGATGTATGCAAATTTTCGTATCCAATTATTTCCCCAAAAAAAAAAAAATTCAATTATTCGGTGCGTGTTGTGTGGTTAAAATGGATTTGAAAAAAAAAAATAAACAAAAATTTCCCAGGTTTTCCCCTATTCGGCGTACTCCGTATCACCTCATAGTCAGATATACTTACGATTAGCGTTTTTGGGTGAGGGGATTTGGTTGGTGGAAAAGTGGATATCAAAGAGCTAAAGCTTCAACTAAAGAGCTTCAACTAAAGCTTGTCTTGAATCTCTTAGGATGGCTAGATATCGAATAAAAACTACTGTAGAATCCTGATCTTCGCTACAATCTGCCCCATTACTTTCGTATACCGTATTGAATATCTTTCAGAAGCTTTCGGATATTCATCATTAGCCAAGGCTTGTCCGGCACACTGTAGTAAGGCTCAGGGATACTGTAGTGAGTCTGGTATACTGTAGTAAGGCTCAGGGATATTGTAGTGAGTCTGGTATACTGTAGTGAGGCTCAGGGATATTGTAGTGAGTCTGGTATACTGTAGTGAGGCTCAGGGATACTGTAGTGAGTCTGGTATACTGTAGTGAGGCTCAGGGAAGAGTGTCTGGTATACTGTAGTGAGGCTCAGGATCTGAGTGAGCTGGTATACTGTAGTGAGGCTCAGGAAGGCTCGGGGTTGCTGTAGCGAGGCTGAAGGTCCAGCTTACTGCAGTGAGGCTCAAGGTCTGGCATACTGTAACGAGGCTCAGGATCCGGTATACTGTAGCAAGCTTAAGGTCTGGCCTACAACAGGCTTAGAGTCCAGGCTAACAGCTACAATAAGTCCAGAAGGCTTAGCGTCCAGGTTAACAGCTACAATAAGTTCAGCAGGCTTAGAGTCCAGGCTAACAGCTACAATAAGTCCAGCAGGCTTAGAGCTTACCTTTAAGCTTCAGATATTCCGTCAACTCCACCACCAAATCCCCAATTTCTTTTTTGTTTTCTGGTGTGGTATCCCCGTGGTAGTTTCCCCATTGGGGTCAAAATTCGTCCCAATCTCGATTCTCGACTAGTTTCTTAGTGTGCTAAAGCGGTAGACCGTTAGTCTTTGTGTATGTGTTCAGCTGTACTCTTAAAACAAAAAAAAAACTGAAAGTTCGCAAAAAGAATTGCCTTTGTTTAGTGTTTCTAAAGAGTGGATAATTTTGAAACTACGGTAATTTTCAGATTTTCTCCGATTCACTCTTAATTTTCGTCAAATTTAGTTAAATTTAGTTAAAATTGGTTAAACATAGTCAAATTTAGTCAATATTTGCCCAAAATTGGTTAAATTTAGTCAAATTTAGTCAAATTTGCGCAAAATTGGTTAAACTTAGTCAAATTTAGTCTAAATTAGTCTAAATTTACTCAAAATTGGTTAAATTTAGTCTAATTTAGTCTAAATTAGTCCAAATTTGCGCAAAATTGGTTAAACTTAGTCTAATTTAGTCTAAATTAGTCTAAATTTACTCAAAATTGGTTAAATTTAGTCAAATTTAGTCAAATTTAGTCAAAATTAGTCAAAATTAGTCAAAATTAGTGCAAAATTGGTTAAATTTAGTCAAATCTAGTCTAAATTAGTCCAAATTTGTGCAAAATTGGTTAAACTTAGTCTAATTTAGTCTAAATTAGTCTAAATTTACTCAAAATTGGTTAAATTTAGTCAAATCTAGTTTAACTTAGTCTAAATTTACTCAAAATTGGTTAAATTTAGTCAAATCTAGTTTAACTTAGTCTAAATTTACTCAAAATTGGTTAAATTTAGTCTAATTTAGTCTAAATTAGTCTAATTTAGTCTAATTTAGTCTAAATTAAGTATAACAAGAAAAATCTGAAGGAAAGATTACGGTAATTCCCTCAAATTGTCCACCAGTTAGCAAACGCATTACTTTCTGTTCGATTTGAAATGCGGATTTTCAGATTTTTGCGCTTTTAGATTCTCTCGTAGTGATCGTTTTTTCTTTTTTTCTTTGTTCGTTTCTCTTTTCTTTTTTTTCTTTTTCCCCATTTGAACACATTTTGTTACTTGTTTAGAGGAAATTCTCTGTTTTCGAAAAAATGTTGGGCCAATTTCTTTTGTAATAATGTGCGTTTTCTCTTTTTTTTTTTTTTTTCCCTCGACTTGTAGTTTTTATTTTCGAATTTTCTGCCGCCCATCACATTTCATATTTCAAACAAAAAACAAAGAAGAAAAATGAGATATGCCATGGGCGTGCCTAGTCAAAACGCTGCCTGTATATCTATTTTTAATTTCATTCATTCATTTCTAATTTTCTAATTCATTTCTTCAAGTTTTTTCAATTTTCATTGTAACATAATTTTTGCAAAATTTCAACTGTTAGCTCTAGTTTCGTGGAAAATAGAAAACTACTGGATTACGGTAGAAAAGGCGATTCTTTTTTTTAGTTATCGTAAATACTGTAATAGTACTCCCCTCGTACAGTCGCGTAGTCGCAAAAGTTTTTTAGTATTTCATTGTTTTTCAAAGCGCTCGTACTTTCAAAAAATGCGTCTTTGGTGTCAAAAAATAGCCCTGAATTTCAGCTATTTTTTGATACCTATACGAGCATTGTAGCAGAAACAGGTGGCGAGAAAGATGTGTTTAAAGTTAGACTACGCGACCGACCATCATTTTAGGGGGCCGCTACTATTACGTAGCGTTGCGTGGTCTAGCTTTGAACGAGTTTTTCTCGACACTGGTTTATGCTACAATGTTCGTTTTGGTCTCAAAAAATAGCCCTGAATCTCAGCTATTTTTTGATACCTAAACGTGCATTGTAGCATAAACGAGTGTCGAGAAAAACTCGTTCAAAGCTAGACTACGCGATGCTCCGGTCGTCATTATGAGGCTGGGGTACTATTACAGTATTTACGGTAGATACTTTACAATTTTCTTAGCATAGTTCTACGCTAATCCTTTCTACTACGCTTTCTACCGTAATCGTTTTCGATTTTGTACTAATCGTAGATTCTGCCAGCAAAAGTATACCACCACCAACGCTAACAGTTAAAATTTTGTATTTTTTTTATTTTTTCTGATATCCTCATCTAGTTCGGTTTCCCCATAAGTACAAGTCGAAAGTGAGTGGATTTGAGGGGAAATTTCGGAAAGTACGGAAAGTAAGAACAATGGAAAATTTCCAAAGATAACCCCATCCACTCACCATCTACGACACATACCGTATTTATTGTTACCGGTTTATTCTCAGTACACCCTTTCTTCCACTTTTTTTAAAACTATTTAGTTTTAACTCTTGTCAAACTCTTGTTAAAGTCGAAAAATTCGAAAAAAAAATTTGGTTAGTTGAGAAAGTTGAGTGCTTTGATAAAATTTTGAGAATTTCGAAAACACTCAGCTTTCCCATTTCCCCGTCGAGTTCAAAAATATGGTCCTTTGGAAAATAAACGTGTTCGTCTTTGCCCAAAAAGAATTCGTTGTGGTTGGGGCAAAATACCTTTTCACACAAAAACCGTAAACCACAACAATTTGACCGGGCAAAACCTTTTATCTCAATCTCCGTCGAATTTTCTTTTTTTTTCTAAGTTTTGCGTTTCTCGTTGGGTGCCCTCCCAAACCTCCCTAGCCGCGATTCTCCCCACCATTACGGTCCTATATTAAAACGGCAAACAATTTTTCCCCCTTCTACACAATATAGATTTTACAAAAATGACGTTGATGCCTCTATTTAATCATATTGGGTTCTAGAATTTTTAAATTTCAATTTGCTGTTGTTCGAATAAAAAAAGCGTGTTGCATTATATTCAAACCACAAATTGAACTTCTTTGATTATGTGCAGTAACATTTGCAGTCGTTTTCTGGCAAATAAATGCTTTTAAATTATTCTTCCTGTACTGAAACACAAAAATGGAAAGATTTAGAAACAAAATAATTTTGAGACGATAATGACAAGAATAAAATTAATCATAGATCACAAAAACTAGTTTGTGCCCAAAAGCTCGACGTCGAAGATGAGAGTGCTGTTTCCAGGTATAGCACCACTAACTCCCTTCTCTCCGTATCCGAGATCGGGCGAGATCGTGAGGATGGCACGTTGCCTAAATAGTTAATATCAAGAAATGCTATCTTTTATTTATGTATGTATAAAAATTTAGATATCTTATTCTTTAAGATTTGACCTCCAAAAAGATAGGTATATTTTATGCTTTTAAAGTATCCCTTTAAAAGCATAAAATATAGCTTAAAAGGTTAGCTTTCGCTAACCGAATAAATTTCAATGTGGGGATGTATCGGCATTATAAAAACTGTAAAGTCAATGTAGACTATCAGCTATTCACCCAATTAAGTCCCACATAAATGGAAATTAGAGGCTAGAGATTCAGCATAGTCAAAAACCTCTGTGTGCAAGTCTTCGTGGAAAAATATTGATTTTGGGTCAAGTTCCAGACTGCTCCCCCCAACTACTCTAGCGCAGAAATTACTAGCGTGAGATGATTGCTATCAAGTATGTCTCATTTAGCTAATTTAATAGATGTTGATAATAATCGAAAATAATTACCCGACGCTCATCTTGGCAACTCCTTGGTCCCAGCCCTTAATCACTTCTCCTTTTCCAATTCTGAACTGGAATGGCTTTCCGCGGTCTCGAGAGCTGTCCACCTAAAATAAGAAACGTGAAACTAGCTGCAATCTTCCAAAGATCTTCAGTTCAGCAACTAGGGCTTCTGTTCTCTCTCGATTCATGGGGTTTATCAGCCATGACTAGTAGCTACCACCGACAAGTCAGCACCAGTGTAAAAAGACATTTTTATACGACGAACCTTTGGGGCGACTTCCAATTTCAGCAAGGGGGCATTTCGGCAACTTTTAATAACTCTCTTCAAAATCAATTTTTTTCCTTTTTTTATGTTCTGGCATCTAGCCTAGCGATTAACACCAAAAACTTTGCAATACCTTAAAATTTCGAGAAGTTGGAAAAAAACTAAATGCTCGAAATTTTAAGGTATTGCAAAGTTTTTGGTGTTAATCGCTAGCCAGAACATAAAAAAGAAAAAATATTGATTTTGAAGCGAGTTATTAAAAGTTGCCGAAGTGCCCCTTTGCTGAAATGAGGCCCTCGCAAACTTTGCTTATCAACAAAAACCCTTACTTTCTTCCCATTTTCGAGGGTGAGGACGTAGTGGCAGGTGACTTGTTGCCCTTTTTGAGGGAAGGTCTTGCCATCTCCCGGCTTGGTAGTCTCAATGTCGACAGGCATCTTCCTAAAATCAATAAATTAAAAAAGAAAAGTTGCAAGTTAGTATAAAGTAAAAATATCAGCAAGCAGCACACAACCCGCTTCTCGACCGATTAATTTTATATTTGGCGGCGGAAAGTGGTCCTTCCACGAAAAGGCGAGCGGCGCGATTTCAAAAGCATTAAAGCCAAACAACTTTCAGATTATTTTCTTGTTTACGGGGTGAAACGCGTTGAAATGCCTAGATACGAGAAGTGGGGGGAAGAAAGGAAAAAAGTTTTAAAAATAAGTTTTGATGAATCACTTTTTTTGGAAAAGCTTTTTTTCCGATAGCTTTCTATACTTTTGAAGTACCGTCTGCAAGTGTTCCCAAAAAGTGTCCCCATAAACCCCTATGGGGACACTTTTTGATAGCTTTGTTTGTTTGCTTTGTTTTCTCTCTAGCTTTCTTTAAAGCTCTGTGATAGATGAATTTTTTTAAACTATTCATACTAAATTTTCTCTATCACAAAATTTTAAAAAAGCTCGAGAGAAAAAAAAAGAAAACGAAACATTTCAATATCAAAAAGTGGGGCGGTACTTCAAAAGTATACAGCTTTCCAGACATTACAAAATAAAAATAGTCATTCGTTAATCGAATACCTTTGCTTTGTTTTATATCCTTATAAAAACCCTTATACGCAATCTACTCAATCTAAAATGTTACAAAGTTTTCACTTACACATTCACTTTTTCTCAACGTTGTATTTTTCTTCTTTTTGATATGCTCTAATGTTGCAAATTTCAGGTAGCAACTTCGCAAAAATGGCCGACGAGGGCGATGATGGAGTGATTGACCAAATGGAGGAGAATAGCAACAAGAAAACGACCTATTTTGTCGTCGATGGCTCGAAGAGAATGTTTGAGGACGATCCATCCGGTGAACCCTATGGGAAGGACTGCTCTTTTGCTCGTGCCATCAACGCAATCTACTCATTTTGTGTTCGCCTTTGCGTCACCGAGGAAGCACTTCGACATTTGGTTGGTGTTCTTGTCGTCAACACGACCTTCACTGAAACCGATCCTGAGATTGCGATGGGAGCTGAAAATATGAAGCACATTTTTCCGATCGGTGTGCTCGACAAGGAAAGAGTTCTGGAATTGGAAGGACTTGTCAATGGAGGAGATTTGGAGAATCTTTTCGCTGAGCTCTTTGGCGGACACACTACATGCAATTATCAGAAAATGGCCAGCTACAGCAAGTTGAACATTTCCTATAGCAGTGGCACGGCACGGCGATTCACTTCATGGGTTCATTTCACGAATCAAGTCAACCCATTTGGTGAAAATTTCAAAAATCATGATGAATACCGAAGAATGTTGAGAAATCTTCACGATATTGAGGGAAGAAAGCCGAATGAGTTGGATACACTTCGCCGCCCACTGCGCGGAAAATGTAGCATCTTTGTTTTGGGCGATTCGAACAAATTGGATGATTCGGACTTGACAATGTGGCGCACAGTCGATGAGGACGCCGATATCTACGATAAAGACTTTGAGACACTCATTTTTAAGCGAACTGGCGCTCTTCGAGCTCATTCGATTGTTCCATTTTCATTAGGACCAAATCTCGAGTTTAATGTTGCTGTATATTCGGTGATTGGGCAAAAGACGAAACCGACTCCTTTTGCCGTACACGCCAAGACGGGCTTACCAATCAAATCAGTGACTACTTACAAAGCTGAGGATGATGGACAGGAAGAGGAACAAAAAGACGGTGCTCTTCAAGATAATTCAATGTTGCCACCACCTGGTGTACCCCTACAACGTCATCAGCTTAGCAATGTGAGAAATGTTGGTGGAGTAAAGGTGGTGATTTCACAGGGTGAACGAGACCTATTCTATCGTTACCCGAAAGGTTTGAGGTTGATCGAGTTTTGTCCACTCTCAAAGATCGATTTGTGGGAGCATGTGCGAGTTCCGCTTTCAATTCGCCCTCACGAGATGGTTCACACTGGTGCAACTTCATTATATTCTCATCTTTTCGAGAGAATGAAGAAGCGACAAATTGCTGCCATCTGCGAATACACGGGACGTGCCAATCAAAAACCGCGCAACGTTGCAATTATTCCGAATGAAGAGCAAGATCCACAAGAAGGACTTCACGAGGGCTTGATCGTCGTTGAGCTACACGATGCAGATGACAAACTAGACATCGAGAAAGCATTTGAAGAGAAATTGGCTCCAACAGAGGGTGAGATTTGGCCAGCTGTCAACAAGAAATTTGTCGAAGCTGCCAAGAACTTGAGCACGTCGATTCGAAAGAATAAATTCACTCCGACCGCTTATCCAAATCCTCATTTACAAGCATTTTACACAATGCTCAAGCGAGAGGCAAACCTCGAAACTCCGGACAACACAAGTGAGAAATGGAAAGAAGCTATGGTGAATGAGTGGGATCAGATAAAGCCATGGTTTGAAAACAGTGCGATTCCTGCATCGAGAATTCAAAAAGCACAAAGCGCAGCTCAAGTTTTTGAAGAAGTTGGAGCCTCAGCCACGATAAAGAAGCCAACACCAAAGCGTCAGAAAGATGATGATGAGGAAAAGCCTGCCAAGAAAAGCAAGAGTGACGACAATGATGGAGTGAATCTGAAGAAGTTGGCACAGGGAGGGAAACTTGGCTCATTGACGGTGGCTTTGCTGAAAGAATACGCTGGAGCCAATAAAATCAATTTCGGTTCAGCGAAAAAGAAAGACGATCTCATCGCTGCAATTTCAACCCATTATGGAATCTGATTGTTATTTAAGAAACTTTGTTTTTTGTTATTGATCTCGATGTGATTTAGTTGTGATAACGTATTTGCCTTGAGCATGTTTCATTTTTGTTATGATAAAGCTCAATTAAACAAATTTTTGCATTTAGATGATCGAAACAGATACCAATGATGGTCGAAGTGAATATCATGCATGCGGTGTATCAACTAGGACGCGTTCAAAAACTGTAAAGGCTGTTTCCCGCGTTGCACCAGCAACAACAAACATTGCACTTTCGTTGATAACCCAAGAGAAAGGTGGAGTTCTTTGTTTTTATCCATACGAAATTATTTAATTTTAGCTACTGTTACAGCGAAGGTGGTCAACTTCGAAAAATTTTATCGTCTCCGATTGATTCCGCGACGAGAAGATGCTGTGGGCTTGGATTAAAAGACTATTCATCGAATAAATTTTTAGCTTCCAGACAAAATCGCTATTACGGGGCCTGATGATGAAACGGTAGCATTATTTTTTTTATTTTACTCTATTTATAGATTTATCGAGACTTGGTGCTACCACAACCCTCAAAGGAGCATCCAATCATAATCAAGGTATTTATCGATCGTTCATACAAATTAGATTATTGTTTTAGGATCAAGATCCGGATGCTTTCACTCCAAAAGAGCGACAAATTCAAGGACCATTTTTGCTGGAATACACGGTTTATAAAATTTTAATGGCTTAATTATCTCTTTCAGGCGCTACTAAAGGCAACGCCGCAAGAAAAGATTGGTAAAAGAAGAAAGTCGGGCATACCGAAACGAAATGTGAAAGATTTTACTCCAAGTCCAGGTGACTTTAACATCATTTATCAAATGTTTTTTTGAATCGTACCTTAAAGCAGCTTTTTAGTTGTGGATAATGTAGGAACAACTTCAACAAAGAACAGTCCTGCGGAGAACAATCTTTCTAATATTGGCACATCATTAGCATCTACACTCATTCCTGGTTTTTTAAACGTGTTTACGTTGGGTAAGATAGATTTTCAGAATCCACTGTTGTTCAACTTAAATCAAATAATCGAAGACGTCGATCATCAGTTTTTCTTCGAGTTGCCCAAGAAACGTAAGAATTAAAGAATTAAAACTCTACAAGACGGACCTATTTTATTTGGACTTTAGAGATCCTTTTGATGAAAAAATGGTTACTGCACAGCCAGCAGAAGTAAGGCAAGATGCACCGATTCCATCGATCGATGATAAGCAAATGGTAAACTAACTAAATTTTTCAAAAAAATGCTATACGTAGGAGAAGAAAATGGATGTAGTGATTCGTCGGCAGTCATCTCTGGACGCCCCAAAGATGCGCAAAACTCAACGTCGATTTTCGATGAAAGCAACTATTCCTCTACTTTCGCCAACTCGCACTAGTGAATCTGAGCCCGAGGAGAATTCGTCAATGAAGCCACCCATGTTTGGTCATCATTTGATGCTTGAAGTAAATTTTATCATTTTGTTTTAAAATATTTTGTATGTTCTATCTATATACCTATTAACACTTTAGGAACCCGTTCCTCCAACTCCTCCTCGCGTTGCAGACCTCGAGTTCGAGTTTTGCGCAATGACCAAACCGTCCGATGAGGAGTTAGTGGTTTCACAGGATGCAGAGGTTAATGAAACCAAATAATGATTTCAACCAAATAATTTTAATTTCAGAAAGAAAATGGCAATCAGATTGACAAACCGTTTGCAAAGCCTCGTGGTAGGCGTTCGCAGCTCTACAAACTTGTGCCGCTAGATGATGCGAAGAAACGAGATAGCGATCAGCCACGGCAGTCAGAGTTTGTTAATTTTCTAGTATTCAACAAAAAAAACTTTATAGTATGACAGAAGAAGCTCCCACTAACATTAAGAAGGCTCGTCGGCGATCGAGTTACTTCAAAGTAGTCAATTGAATGTATTTCTAGTAACTGTGTTTTTCTTTTGTACTTTTTAATCGAATGCATTGTCTATATAATTTACTATTTCCTTACTTAAAGTGACTCGGGTTTTGTTATCGATGTCTTTGTAAATAAACTAAATAAACTTTTTCTCCTGAAATTGGTGCTTAAAAATTTGTTTGGGTGACTATTTTATATTTTATCATTTTTTTTTTGATTACAAGCGAACGGGTAAGCTTTTCAACAAGCTTACAGTCATTAGATTAAGAGAGATTTGAAAATTATCTTTGATCTTATTCTTTGTCATGTGGGCAATTTGATTAATATTTTCTTTTTCCAGACAAGCGATTGTGCGGATGCCAATTCTTGACTTGGCCAACGCTGGCTTCCAGGCTTATGCCTACATTGATGAGGCATCTTGTGGGGCGGTGAAAGTCTACGCGACCAAAAAGGGTGGTCATCGCTTCGCTTGCAAAATGTGGCAGCTGGAGAAACTCGCCGATCGTTGCGGCTTTCAACATGCCATTGAAGAAGTGCAATGGTTGAAGTTGCTTCGACACACCAACATCGTTCCATTCTACGCTGCCATCGTTTGCGATCGACACATTCTCATCGCCACTCACTTATCCGATATGGGATCGGCTCTAAATGTCATCGAAAAGGATTATAAAGTGGGATTTCCTGAGTCAGCCCTTGTGTCAATCACGAAGCAACTCTCACAAGCTCTCAACTATTTGCATTCACAATACATCTTGCACAGATCGATTCGAGCAAGTCATGTGCTATTGGATTCTCAGGGCGGAGTGCGATTGACGGGATTCAAGCATTGCATACGATTGAATGAGCATGGGTTGGGGAAAATTCATCCAATCAACGAGTTCAGCGAACACCTCTCCGATTCGTTGCTCTGGCTGGCTCCGGAAGTGCTTTCGCAAAACGTGAGTGGCTACGGATTGCCTTCGGACATCTATTCGCTTGGAATCACGATTTGTGAAATGGCGAACGGTTTCCCACCGTTCACCGACATGTCTCCGCTGCAGATGTTGTACGAGAAGACACGTGGAACGACGCCACGATTGCTGGATTCGACCACCATTGGCCCAGAAGGCTCCGCTGATCACCATCAACACCATTTCTCTGCCGGGCTCCACAAGCTGGTCGCCGCTTGTTTGTCGATTCGCCCTGAAGATCGACCGAATGCTTCACAGTTGACGACCACAAACTCTTTTTTCAAGGAAACGAAACGGCCTCAAACGCTGCGCTCATTGCTGCCAGGTGTGAAATTGATCACTGAGGACACGAACAAATTGACAACCATTGAAGAAATGGATGATTCAAGAGAGGTATCCACGATGGATCAGTTCACCCAATGGGATTTTTGAAGTACCCCGTCTCTTTGATCTCTTTGATCTCAACTATCATCCAAAAAAATTCTGAATGCTCTCTAAATTTTTCTCTTGTTAACCTTTTTACAAAAATCTGTTGTCTTTATTTTGAACGTTTTAGTCTCTAGTTGCTTTACACGCCTAATTTGAGCGCTTTTTTTGATTCTTTTCACGTTATTGACCCCATTGACTTTCCTTGGTGACAAAATGTGACATTTTATGATGTTAAGATGTGATGTTATCTAGTTTTGAAGTTTACGTTTCCCGCTCATGATTACGAAATGGTTACTTTGTCTCTGTGTATAAATATAATAGTTTAGATGCCACTGCCTGATGTGTCGGATGTTGACATTGATGGGGAGGGGAAATTCAAGTACATCTTGATACAGGTTTTGGTTTTTTTCATTTTACTTACCGAACTTTCAAAACTCTTAACTATTACGTAATATTGAAAAATAAGTAGCAACGTTTTAACATTTAAAACACTATTGTTTAGGTAATCGAGAAGTCGACGAAACAGGAAAAATACATTGTTCGTGGTTACAAGAGATGCCCATATCATGCCGATATTTTTGACCAAACCCGCGCTAAAACTAGTCAGGTTTTTTTAAATTGAATAACCTTTTTATCCTAGTTTTAGGATTTCAAACTGGAATGTCCGGGTGGTGGCAGGATAAAACATGATCCGAAAGCGAAGACGTTATTCGTCTACGGTTATTCACAAGTAGGTGTTTAGGTTTATTATGTCTAGCCTGAAAGTTTGTTAGAATACCAATATTGATTTAATTTTAGGGATTTGGACGCGGAGATCACCAATTAGCGGTCGACATTCTCAAGTCACAATTTTCCGACTACGAGATCACCTGGTCGAATGATGGATATTGATTTTTCTCGGAAACGTTTGTTTTTGTTTTGCCGATAATTTGTGATTTTCGATGTTGTAAATAGTAGCCTTGCATAAATATTTCTAGTTCGATAAAAAGCCTTTCTCAACGCATAAACTGAAGACGGATGCAGGCGAAGATCGCAATCAAACATTTCCCCTGTCAACTTGACCTTGAACTGGAAGTATTGAGTGTGCGCGGCGTGTAGCCAAATAAGTCTAGGCTTACCCCGTAATTTTATCGTATATTTGAATTAATTTTCCCCATCATGACTCAGCAGGCGATCGACGGCCGATGGAAGTGCGTTTCTTCCGAGAGATTCGACGATTACATGGCGGTTGGTTCTAGTTTTAAGGTTACACGCTTGCACTGGCGCCACTGGGATTGATTATCCTATGCTGGCTGATGTTAGTTACCTGAAATGAAATGCAAGTGACATTTATCGGATGCGGTAACTAGGAGAAAAATAACTATTTTTGACTATCAATTTCAGGCAGTCGGTGTGCCGATCTTCGTGCGGATGATCGCAGCGAACGTGCAAGTGACTTTAGTAATCAAAGTCGATGTATCAAACAAAAAAAAATCAAATGTTTTTGAGATTTAAATTTAAATCCCAGGGAAATCGATATCAATGCCGACAAGAGTCCGCTTTCAACACAACCGAGTTGAATTTCACCCTCGATGAGGTTTGATTCGAGAAAAGCATGACTTTGGAATGAATCACGTACATAGGAATTCGTCGAGACGACGCCGGACGGCCGCAAATTCAACACGACGTGCACGCTGGAGGACGGGAAAGTCGTGCAGAGACAGAAAGCGATCAATGTGGGTGCAAGTCGAAGATTTTCAGTGTAGTCAAATATAGCCAAATTCTACGAGCCAAGAATCCGATAAGTGCGAACTTAAGGTTTGACAGCTTTGAATTTCATTTCTTTGACTGAATTAATCCCTATCGGGTTAATCCAGTCAGTGTCATTCCCAGTTGAGTCATTCGTTCGCAATGCCAAAATCGGTTTTGAGCTAATTGTTGAAAAAAATCTCATTTCAGCCAAGTGACAAAGACTCGACGATCACTCGTTTCATCGAGAACGATCGACTCGTGACGATTCTCGAATGTGGAGAGGTGAACGCCCGACGGGAGTACGAACGCCAATCAGAATAAACCAATTCGTTATTTTTTGGATTTTATTTAGAATAACAAAATCAAATAGATAAGATCACCCGCGAATATAAAAAGGTAGAGATTGAATTGAGTCATTTGAACGAGAAAATAAGAGACAAAAGGAGATTCCCTTAAGAGTTTTTTGACAAATAAAAGGCACACGTCAAAAGTGAGACCATTTAGAGGAAGAAAAGAAAAGTGCGCAGGTAGATGATATGACAAAAACTAGAAAAAAAACATTGTACACTCAAGTGCACTACCAATTTAGTTAGAATAAGCAAATCAGAAATTCAGGATCTTATTTGTAGGTTTTTATAACATAAAATTTCATAACAGCACATAAATTGAGAAAAAGAGATAAACATAGAAAATCTTATACCTAGTTTAGTCGAATTTGCGGACCTTTCGCACTCGTCCACGCTGTGAGATCGACTCCTAAAGTAGTCAAATAATAGAGGTTGTGAAAGTTTGTCAAGCAATTGCGGGATGACCTAATTAAAAAAGGATAACTCCACTTGCTTTTCGAAGTTTTTAGTCAACAAATCTTTTTATAGTCGTCGGGTTGTTGTTAATGAGTTATCCATCTTTTTTCAAGACATCTTGTGATTGAATGTAACCGTTTGTAAATAAACCGTTGGCTCATCTTCGTCATCACTATCCTCGGCGTAGCTCACAGGTTTACGACGTGCGGCGTTTCTCTTGGGAGAACCATAGTGGTCATCGCTAGAGTCATCTCTGGTACGCTTCCTAAATGAAAAACTTTGTTTGTTTAAATACATTTCCTACTACAGCCAAAGAATTTAAACATAATCAAGAAATAGGCAATTATATAGATCTCTCTAAAGAATCTCTTTTTTCAGGTCTAAAGCCCTAACTTTGTGCCTACTAGAAGATAAAACACTTACATAGCTCCACCGGTGCGAGTTGAGCAACGCCGACTTGGCCGACCGTTTCCTATTGTCGTCTCAACAATGAGGTGTTGTGGTTGAGGGGCGGTAGTTGATTGAGCTCTTCTGTCACGTCTCGATCTGCGATCTTCACCCAGTTCACTGGTTGAAGCATCCAAATCAGCGAGATTGTCCTGAATTTCACTCTATGAAATCATCGGATTGCCAATTACTTACTAGTTCTTTAACAACCCTTCCCCCCTGCGTTCGTTTCCGTGTTCTAGGAATTATTTCTTCTTCAGATTCATCCTCGTATCTAAACATTTATGTAACGTGTAAAGAATTTAGATAGTCTATAATTAAATGTTTACTCATGCTTCTTGAAATATTCAATTGAAGCTTTGACTTAATATCTGAGAAATCTCTAAATATTCTATTTTTTTTGCAAAATCTACTCACTTTGCGGATGCCTGAGAGGTACCTTGTCCCATTGCATCGTCGGATTCTTCGAGTTCCTAAAAAATGAATTTTTATAATAGCACAACAGAACTCTTCACCTCCACCGTTTCACTTCTCTTCTGTCTTCTGAGCGCTCTTGTTTTTCTCACTAAAATAGGAATTAAATGGGCTAACACAAGCAACATACGATTGGAAAACTCCTCATCACTGTAGTCACAAACTGCTTTTGAAGTGGATGGCATATTTGATCTAAAACAGCTACTTACAAGATGTATCTTTAGTCGACAAAAACTTTAAATCATCACGATGTCTTGTGTCATAAGCATGAAGTTTGTGATTACGCTTCGTTTCTCGTAACTCGCGAACTGCATCAAGGTTGAGGAGTGATTTTGCCTTTTCTTCCAGCTAAAATGAAAGTGATATTAAACGGCAATTAACAAGGCGAGCAATTTAAACTCCAACAAAGTGCTAAGGCAGTGACTTACTTCTTTAACCTGTTTGATGATGGGGAGGATCTTTTCCTCCACTTTTTGCTTCAACAGAAGACCATTACGATAAATCTAAACACGATTAAACAAAAGCAATTGAATTTTTTTTACCTCGCTACGTCGATCGTCGTCTGTTTGGTCGATTTCTGCAATCATATTTACTATCTTGTCGAGCACCATGTTTGGAGATTCAATCGATTCATCTTCAATCGAATCAATAATTTCTTCTAATGAACGCACTTCCGGATCACATCTTGACCAGATTGCGTGCATTTCCTAAAATTACTTTGAGAATGACTCAATTACAAAGAATTACTCACAGTTGTCGGATTCTCCCGATTCAGAAAATGTCTCGCACATTTGTCCCTGCAGATTTCCTTCAATCCTTTTGCAATATCCGTTTTCCATCCGGGTTTTGTTAGTTCAACATTCATCACTAGATAACTCCTTGAAAACATTTTTAGATTCAAAATTTACTTTCATATCCGCGATTTTGTTTGTTTCTCGAGGGACGCCGAAGATATTCTTTGAGCATCGTGTTCAGCTCTCCAATGGTCATTTCTTTCACTTTGTCGAGACTATTTTCAATACTTGTGTCGAAGATATTTCTAAAATATACCTACGAAAGATTGCGCAACAAAATCCCTTACTTGCTCAAATCAATCAAGGCTGCTGCCAGAATTTTTGCATTCTTGACAATTGGCATGGTGGGATCGTTGTAAGATTCGGCAGCCTTGCAAATCTGACAGACATCTAATTGAAATGCGGCCAAGCGCCTAAAAAGTTTATATTTTCATATAAAAAAAATAAATACCTATAGAACTTGTTGATTAAACGTTCCGTGATTGTTCCCAGGTCAGAAGGATAAGCAACCGCTAGTGGGTAATCTTCGTAGTCGGTCAATGAAACCGGTTCAATGAAGGCCACGAAATCTTGTTGGCCAATCAGCCTGAAATGGCAAATTAATTTCACGATAGAAAAATACATTCATTTAAATAAAATGTACACACCAAGCAATCGCTCTCTGTAACAATCGAGTAGCAGCATCGCGATCATCCTCAAAGTTCGATCTAGCATCAGGATCTCTGTTATTTGATGGCCAATCTCCACGTTGAAGTACATAGTGGGCCAGTGTTAAATGCTCTTCCTCTGATACAACACTTTCTAAGGAATCGCTAAAATATTGGCACTCAAGAATACTTGTACCTGAGCGTCTATTTTGCGTCTTCGGTTGCATGTCCCAAGGTGAAAGTGGCTCTTCTTCTCCAGAATCCCATGCCACGTGTAAACAATACCAGTGTGAACTAAACGTATAGTAATCAATCAAGCCCAATAAAGACTAGCCGTGCCTGGGTAACTCTGGGTCCTTGGGTTGTCGCGATTTGATTACACCCGTCCACCATTGCGAATCCAAGACAGCCTAAATCAATTTCACTTGGCCAAGTGCTCAATTCATACCTCAATCTGGTCCCCAACGTCAAAGCGGTGTTCCATGCTTTCATCATAAAACTGTCGCAAGACGATAAAATCCGCTACATTGTCCAAGTCGTGAAATCTTTAAAATAAAATTTTGTTTGAAATCTCTTGGAGTGGCTTACTTAACAGCCCAAACTTTTCCGGTTGGCACATTTGTTCGGCGATCGACTCGAGCCAGATTGACAACGACAAGTCGGTACGGTTTCATGGTGTATGAAACATGTGTCACGATGCAGAACTCCTCAGCGTCAAGACCATCGCTAAATTTGGAGTTTAAGAAAGCAACTACCATAAACAACATACCAAACTAGCATATTCCGAGTCGGATCATAAATATCCACTATGCTCAATTGTTTCAAGTAAGCTTCATGTCCCTGAAAATGAACACTATAAAACTAATAAATTTTCCTCACTTGTTTGAAATAAACTACAAGATCTCCAGGCTGCGCGAAGTAGGGAAACCGAGCCGGAGTAACACGTTTGTAGTGATCCGGAAAACGGTACTCCCAATCCAAGTCGGACAGCA